CTTTGGTTGCATTTACTGCCATGGCAATGTCAAACACAGTTCTTTACTTTTATTACCAAAAGCAGAAAGGAAATTTTAAAACAAGCTAGCAAAAAACTTGGAGTAGTTTCACACCATTACATCTGTGCTTTATTTTCCCTCCTTAATAGTTCAGTCTTCAGCCAAGAAAACACAGCAGCTGAAAATCAGCATTTCAGAGAGCATGCTGGCTGTGTCAGGCCACTCCTAAGATATAAATGACAGAGCTGTGACATTCTGAGGATCCCTTGCCCCTGCTGCAGTGTGCACAGCCTGTCCTCTGTGCTGTGCAGCAGAGCCCAGAGGTTGTGGAGCTACAAGTCACAGAGATTCTGTATCCTAGAATAAAGCTTGAAGTTACACATCCTACAACATGGGCAGGGTTGGCTGAGCACAGCTTCAGGTTTATTTGCGGAGGTATCCATGCAAATGGAAAAATAATAAAAAATTCACTTTTAAAAGAGCAGTAGCCGATATAGTCTTCTTTAAATTTAGAGGAAGCTCTTTTTTTTTATTGCAGTTTAGAGTAGAACTGAACTAAAAATATTTTGTTGTGACCCCACCTTGCAGCATTCCCATAGCAAGGTGTTTCCCAGAAGCTTTTCTGACTTCCAGTTAAAAGCCAAGATACTTCCTGGCTGGCAGCAGATACATGGAGTCTTGCCAGCAAGAATCTGCAGCTAAGAATCCCTTAGCTTGAGCCTTTGATTTCCTAATAGTTTTATGTTCAGGGAAAGAATTAGCAATAAAGAAGGCTGCAGTATTTATTTTCTTTGTTTTCTTTATTTCTTTATTCAGCTGCATACTCTTCAGGTAATTGCCATAATTTCCATTTCAGAAAGGTTTGTTACGAATACTGAGGTCTAATTTCTATCTGATGCAGCAAAAAATAATTGTTTTTAAACCCTCAGACAATGATCTGCTGTACAAAAAACACCCCAACAGAACAGTTTTCAACTTTGCACAATGAATTAAGTCTTTAATTTTGCTCAGAAAATGCCTTTGATTTCTCCTATGAACATTGGATTGTGGTCTTAGTTCTATCTTCTTTCGTTTTTAATTATTTCTTTGCAGGTCTGGGATTATTCTGAGATAAAATGCAGTAACAAGTGTTAGAGATGCTTTGAATTTACATCCATGTAGTGCAGTTGCAAAATGTAATGAAATCAACATTGCTTGATTTGCAAGGAAACATAAGGAATGACAAAAATAATGGTGATATGTCTGCATAGTGATGTTAGCATAAAACAACACTCCAGTGACAAAGACTGTTTTCCTCACAGATGAAGGCGCTATTGATTTTTTTCTATTCTTTTTATTTCTCCCTGATTTAAATTACATAATCCAGACTTCCCAGTTATCCCAGTCAGTGTATGTATTACTTTGGGTAAATTGGATATTTAATGGCATTGATTTGTCTTATTTGAAACCTAAATGAGTTTAAGAAAGCATTAATTATTCATTGATCATTCATTTAAGCTGGTCTTGAAAGCAGGAGTGGAAATCTCAACCTAGCTTGTCTTGAAAAGTTCTTCTTTGTATATCTCTGACCAGAGATTGCATTCATTAATTTAAAAAAAAGTCTTCAGGCAGTGCCCAGCAGTCTTACACAAAAGCACCCATGCAGCTTGTCATGGGCTGACCTGGGGTGTGACAGGCTCTGTCACAGGTGTCAGTTCACATCTTCACATTGGAACTGGCAAAGACTTAACCTGTGTTTGTGTTCCACACCCGTGCTGTGGTGTGAGGACAATTGGGAGCCCTGGTACTGAACCAAGAACATGACTGACTGTCTTAGGTGCTTATGTGACTCTTTCCATCCTATTCCCTGGGAACCTTGTCATGGTATTTATTCTCACATTATTCTCCTGTTCTCACGTTATTCTCACAGCAGGCTGAGGTTAACAGTGCTGTCTCACCCAGTTTACAGTCCCAGACAGTGAAGACACAGAGAAAATAAAACATTCAGATAATTTAATTTTAAGCTGGCAAGTCCCAGGCTCAGTGACTTAGCTGAACTTAACCATATGGATTTATTCCTTTAGGGTTAGGGGATATCATCCACAGAGCCCAGATATCTGCTGTGGGGCAGGGGTTGGAATCTGGGTTATCCAGATCCTAAATTAATGATTGTCAGTGATTGTTCTGTCTGGAGTCTGTTGTAATTGTCTTAGACATGATCTAGAGTTGCCTTATTACGCTGTGTGCAGTCCATGGTGCCTGAGAAGAAATCCTGTAGTTGCTGTGGGGAGGGTTAGTGCAGGCAGAGCCTGAAATATGGACTCAAGGTGTGAAATTCCTGCAAGGACATGAACCCAGCTCCTGACTCAGACCTTTTCAGACCCAGAGCAGCTTAAAACTGACATGTCCAGTGAGCTGGCTGGACTTCAGTCAGAAACATTTCAATAAGCTGCTTGTAAAGGTATTTCTCTTTCTTTTTCTTTAATTCTCGGTTCTGTCCTCACTGGTAACTATGAAAGGTCACCTCTGCCACTGAAAAGCCTTGTGTGTATTACTGCATCCAAAGGAAAAAGCTTACAAGCAATTCCTTGCAGGAGGGTGAAAGTCAATTACTCGATTTTGACCTACAATGTCAAATGGAGGCCAGTAAGACAAGCACCATAATTAGCTTCACTTAAGAGATCAGCCTGGAAATAGCAACTAACAGTATTTGTATTCATTTAAATGGCTTTAAAGGCAGAACTGGAAAGAAGCTGCATCATTGGACCAGCCTTGGAAACAGTTATTTACTCTCCTGTAAAAGAGCAGAGGCTTGTGTTTCAGATCAATACCAGAAGATCTGGAACCTGGTGTGCAGAATGTCAGGGTGTCCTACACATGTGAGGTAGAATAAGCAGAATGTCACAGGTGCAGATTTCACATTACACCATATAAATCTTAGGGAGCATTTTCCCAAATTCTTTATCCACTTTCTCTTGTGAGCAGCTTTAATAGTCCACACTGTTACTTTCAGCTTGCATCAGGCCCATCTCATGGTGTCTGGATCTGAGAGGAAATTTTGCTCATAAAAATTTAATTTGTTAGTAGTCTCCTCTTTCTTTCTTTCTCTCTTTCCTTCTTTCCTTCTTTCCTTCTTTCTTTCCTTCCTTCCTTTTCAGAAACAGTATTGCATTGCTGACTATTAGATGAGGCTCACTCAAGGTAAGGCATTCAGTGAGCTTTTACTTCACTGGAGCTGCTAATTGAAATACTGGTTTGGCATTACCAGCTGAATTCTCTTCACCAGGATGGGCTGAATAACTGCTCAGGGGACATAATTTGAGTGAGGCTACCAGAAAAAGAGGTATTAAAAACTTTGAGCTTGAGTAGGGGATTTCAGCCATTTTCTTTGAAGTTTGGGGTGGGAGATGTGAGTGGTGATAGGAAGAAGAGAATAANGGTATTAAAAACTTTGAGCTTGAGTAGGGGATTTCAGCCATTTTCTTTGAAGTTTGGGGTGGGAGATGTGAGTGGTGATAGGAAGAAGAAGAAAGTGCTTAGAATATTTGCTATTCTCTATTCTTGATGCTGTTACTCCCCTAATCACATATTCAGATTTTTTATTATTAATCTTATATTTATGTAATCCAAAATGATAGCAGCATTTCTTCTGTAAGGCATTTATAAAGGAGAATAATATAAAAAGACTTCATGGAGCAATGGGACTTGCCCCCTAGAAATCCATTGAAGAAGGGGAGGAATGTGGTGCAGTAAATATGAGCAAGGTGTTGTATTGCTGCATAAGCAGTAATCTGAAAACCAGCATAGTCCCGGCTGGGGTGATGCCAGGAACTGATCAGGAAAGGAAAAGATCTCGAGAAAACTCTGAGATAAAATAATGAAGATGTTTCCCACTGACAGTGAGTGTGAGTGTTCAGTCCTTTGCAGGCCAGGAAAAGTAGGACAGGAATGGTATAAAGACAGAGGTGTGGGTAGAAGCATGTTTTCTCTGAAATGTTCTGATGAGCACCACTAGTTTGAGAACAATATTACAAGGAGGAAAGCTTTCTACTGCCAGAATGGGATGTGGGAGGGAGAACTGAAGGAACATAGGTTTGTTTGGGAACATTCTGGGTAATACTTTCCACTTCAAACAGTTCAGTTGAGATTAAATCTTGCTCCAGCTTACACCCGTGTGCTTCTGTTAGGGCCCCAAGCTGCCACATCTGAAGAGAAAGTTGAACATGTTTTACAGAAGCCAAATGTGGAGCAATTAAAGTTTTATTACAACCATGAAATCCACAAACTTTTCCTGTTCCTATCCAAGCTCTGCTATGGGTGGTTGGGTAGCTGATTACCACTACTTGGAATTGTCTCCCTGACAATATTGCAAATAGTTTTAGGGTAATTTCTGCCTACTCATAGTATCTCAAATTTGCATGTAGAGTAATTTCTGTTATAATTCGTAGCAGTAGAGAAAAGTAATATTGGCTTCTTTCCTTTTCAGGAGTGCTTTCCCTGTATTAGGTATCTGCTGTAGCAAAAAAGAGATGTTTGTAGTTTATTTTTAGTGTAGTCATTTGCATACCAGACTATCTGGTTCATCTGGTTTCCCAGAACTTGATTTAGAATTGCTTTCCTTCAGTCCTTTCTGTTTGGATTATATTCTTTCTTGGATTAAATTAGTTTAGTTTTTGTTTCCTTTTGTGCTCATCCAATGGTTTGCAGAAACTCATGTTCTTGGAAAGAAAATGGCAGGCATTCTGAAACACTTTGTGGCACTGACCAGGGAGGGAATTTTTCCTCATCTTTCTGTAGCAGCCTCAATGGAAAGAAGTAGTAGTTGGTGTGAATGTCTTAAACTACTGGTTTATGAAACAACTATTTTTAAATAAAATGGTGGTAACATTTTAGATGAGCATAAAATGTGATCAGATACATTTGTATCGTGATGAAAAGTGTCTGAGAACACTGAGTTTTGTATAGGAGAAAATATTCTTTTTGTTTGGGTTGAAATATTTTTCTGTTTGCTTGCTTTACAGTGGCCCATCCTCAGGAGCCCCACCACCCCTCTGAAAAGCCAGTCATCCACTGCCACAAATGTGGGGAGCCCTGTAAAGGGGAAGTGCTCCGTGTTCAAGCCAGACACTTCCACATCAAATGCTTCACCTGCAAAGGTAAAACCTCGATATTCATCTGTTAGAAATTACTCCATTTGTGCAAGTGTGTCTTGAGCCACTGATGGGAGATTGTGCTTCCTGCCATCAACCCACTACAAATGCTCTCTTTGCTCAGTGCCTGAAGATTTTAAATGTGGGAAAGGTAAAGAAAGGTGGTGATACTTAGGAAAATTCTATCTTTTTGCAGTTTTTATTCTAAGTGCTTTTTCACGGATCTGGAAAATTTTTAAAACTCTTGATAGCATCGACTGTCTTTCATTAGGGATAGTTATGAAAATTAGAATCCTTTGTACTCAATTGACTGCTGAAGGTACCTGCTTTCAAAAAACCCACCAAAAAGGTTCTGTAAAGGTGTTTGTTCTAAAGGCTTTGTGCCATGGAGCTGCCTTGGGAATGGGGATCGTGCTGCCCATTCCACAGAGAGAGAACCTGAGGGGCTCTTGGCAGCTCTAGCTCATGCCACTGAGCCCTCTGTGACCACAACAAAAACTCGCTGTGTTATTTTACAAAACAGAGGTTTAATGAAGCGTTAAATAATTGTAAAACTATGCTTTGTGAATTCATTGCCTTTGAAGATGGATGTCGTGGAGCAGGAGGCAGCCCTGGCTCCTTCACAGAGTTTCTGTTTAATGAACAACACAATGCAGAGTTGGCTGAATTGAGAACCACAAAACGTGGGATGAAAGGTGAGAATAAGGAGAAATACCCAAGTCTGTGTGCAACCACTGTCTGCCACAGTCAGTCCCAGGTTAGCACAGGATAGGTACAGCACAGAAAGGGATTCAGGCTCCAGATGAAGGTGGCAGAGCTGGTGGCAAACGTGGAGAAAGGTGTTGGAATAAATCAGAGTAACCAGGCAATTAAAATACAGTGGCAGAATCAATGCCACATAGTTTTTCACTTCTATTAAACCTAAGTTATCTTTTCTGAAAGTCTGTATCTAGCATGTGTACTGCAGATTCAGACTTTGAAAAGTGTCTCCAGCCCAGTTCCTGAGTTTCAGTTATATTTTTCATGTTCCAAATGTGGGTGGAATAGTTGTGTTGTTGCGCTGTTCTTCCGCTTCCTGAATATATGGAATATAGCAGAAAATAGAAATAGTTGTTTTCCTATGTTACTAAAGGTTTTTTTTAAAAGGTCACTTGAATTATTTGTATGCTGAAAAATCAGTGTCTAGAATCTAAGAAATTCTGTTTGTTACCTGTGGTTTTTAGTTAAATACAGCTAGATAACTAAAAAAAAAAAATGCTTACCATTCTCCTGGATATTAACATATCTCATCTGTGCCAGTCTGGAGTGGCATCAGCCCATCCTAGAGGGCAGCATGGAGCACTGTCTCCCCTATTTCTGGAATGCCTGGGGAAATGCATATCTCTTTCTCTATTACAGCTGCTGTATTTCAAGCAGCACTTGATGCCATATAATCCCTGAGCAGTTCAAAAGCATCAACTATTTGTTTATTTTCTTGTTCCTGTCCATAGTGAGTAGAGATCTCAATTTACAGAAGATACTGGATTAGGATATTTTCAGCATCAGGCCACCTGAGACCCTTTGAGTCACGAAGGAGAATGTTAATTCAGGCCAGGCAGCAAACAGTGTCCTTAGGACCTCCTGATAAAGAAGGGGGCAGATGGAGCAGAGCTTTGGAATTGTCCTGATGAATATAACACATTAATCTTGCTTTTTTTAGGAGGGTTGACGTCTAGTTTCTTCTTTCACTTGTGTTTTCGTTACTTTAAGCTGCTTTTGTGCTTGGCTATTCTGTTGCAAGACTGGATTTACTAGTATACTTTTTTTGGTTTTGTTCCTAGAGGAATGGCTAAACTTATTATGGCTTTTGTTTGTGGAGATATTTTCAACTTGGTGACAGTTTAAGATTCTATAATATTACTGACCTTATGAGTACTTTCGTGAAGATCACCAGAGAAGGGAGAGCTATAGAAATAACTCTTGCTGGGGGAAATGAAACTATGATTTGTACCATTAGCATGTTAAGCAAATGGAGGAAAGTAATTCCAGTTTGAACTGAGAGGGCCAGAGCTGAATGGTAGAGACTTTTCTCATGCTGTTCATTCAGTCTGTGCCTTATTAGTTGGGTTTGCCAGCAAGCAAAGAGAGAAAGGAAAGGGGTGTGTATGGGAGGTTGCTCCAAGTCCTGTTTTGAATCTTTTACCTGAGCTGCAGATCTTGTTTACTGTTAGCCTCTGTTATTTAAGTGAGTGCAGTTTTTGTTTAGAGTTATTTACTCACAATGCATGTTGTTTGACCATATGGTTTATACTAGTGGGACACAGCTGTTCAAGTAAGTGGGTTTTTTCCCTCTTAGTCTGATGGGTTTTTAATTTGACATGACTGCAACTCTACAGGAGGTGGAGTTAGACTCCCCCTAGTTTATAAAATATGTTGTTAGGCAGCAAAACCAACAGATACTGAGACCAGGACGTATCAGCTGCATCTACAGGTGGCTTGGTTATCTGTTTCTTTTTTGTATACTAAACTTGGCTCTTGAGACTGAAATTCACATCTACAGAGTGAAACACATGAACAAGCTCACACTTGTCTGTTTTCATACCTGCTGAAAGCGTTTAAAGTTTTACCCATAGACTTAAAAGATGTGGAAAAAATCCATTTCCTGATAAGGCTGTCACATGAGTTCTATAGACACAGAGTTTCTGTGTGATCGTGTTCTTTGCTCTGTATGAGAATCCTTTTTATTATTGCCATCCATGCTCTCAACTTCGTGTTTACATCATACTGTGAAGTGTATTTGATATGCTTGTAGTCCTGCTTCCCTGGGTTGTGTCAGAGGCTCTTAGGCACTCCATGACTGCTTGGCATGCATGTCAGTGGTGGCTGTGGCACTGCAGGAGCACGGTGACTTACGTCTCCATGTGCATCAGCCAGCTCAGGACATGCTCATGCGTCACGTAATGTGATCAGACAATCATCCTCCCCAGGAGTTTGGTGCTCTGTCCATCTCTGGAATCTTTCTAAGAACAGAGGAACTGCTTCCTGCCAAAGATGACGAGTAAAACCTCCCCTGACTGACGTGTTCCTGTGCCCCCATGATAAGATGGAGCTGGCTGGGACAGCCTTGGAGAGCCGTGTGTCTCCAGCTGGTGTGCCCTATCTGCCTGGCAGGGCTGGCAGGTTCTATTTGTGCCTCCCGATAAGAGCTGATAGGAAAACAAAAAGCTGAAAATGGTGTGGCTGTCCCCAGGAAGGTGAGCTCTGCCATCCTCCTGATAGGCAAAGAATTTCAGGCAGGCAGCAGCTGACTGGGAGCTGGAGTTAACAGGGGAATGATGGACAGAGGAGGGATAAGAGACATTTAGGCGTGCAGCTCCAGGAACACCATTCAGAGCAGTTGTCTTTGGCTGTTTCATAACAAAGTCCCTTACCTTGCTAGGGAATTACACTGGTTTGTGTTACAAATGCAAATCTGATAGGATTCTGCATTACCTCCAGGTATAATAAATAAGCTTTAAGGTGTGTTTTAGCAGGAGTGCATCACTCTTACCATACCAAATTGTTAATCTTTACAAGGCAATGGAAGCAGCAGGCTGAGAGGAGGGAAGGTTAGATGAAGAGGTTGAGCTGGAGACATCATTGGATTTCTCTCAAATAAACATAATCATTAACAAGAATTAATTAGTGGCTTACGAATAAGTAAAAGTTCTTCTTGCAAGCGTCTATGTACATGAATAACTTTTCTGGGAAAACTAAGACTACTCACTGCAATGCTGTTTCGTATGTAAATGTGTGTGGGATCAGGCCCTAAATTAAAATGTGCATGAGCACAGATTTTAATATCCCAATTTAAATTGTGATCTGATACAAATGATAATTTTCTACCATTGTCAGTTGATTACAGTTCATTTTACCCTATTGCATGTACTAGCAGAGGAAACTTTGAGGCTAGCAAAATTGCTATAATAAGGCTTTATTATTAAGCCTGTGATTCATCTTTTGAGTTAGAGGGAAAAGCTGGTTTCAATACACTGTATTGCTTAGCAGAAAAAGCTTTAAGCTTTAATAGTAACAATGTTAAAGTTTACATAGCTTGATTTTGGTACGTGTAGGGATTGGTTGAATTATCTTAGCTAGATACAGTGTAGTGTTTGTGGTAGGAGTGTTTCAAATAGTAGATTTGTGATGTCGAATACTAATTGGAAAACATAGGTTCTTTATAGTAATGTAGACTAAACAAAAATGTAATCTCATAAATAAGCAGTCCTACCATAAGAATATGAATGGTGTCCTTAAGCTTTTTAGTCCTCACTGTCACAGAATCATGGAATGGTTTGGGGTGGAAGGGACTTTAAAATCATCTAGTTCCAGCCCCTCTGCTGTGGGCCAGGTTGCCAAATCACTAGACCAGGTTGCTCAAAGCCCTGTACAGCCTGGCCTTGAACACTTCCAGGAATGGGACATTTGCAATTATGTGGCAGAAATGTCAGGTGAAAATGTTTCACTGTGTATCAGTGTTTCACATGCTATAGTGATATCAAATATCAAAAGGCAATTACCTTCTAATAATCTTGCTAATTAAAAGGCAAAGCCAAGTCTTGGCACCCAGGATGCATTCCACAAACCTAGAGTATTCCACAGGAAAAAAAAATATTTCTATTAAAACATTTTTATAAATCAGCATAAAGCAGTTTCTTAATTATGGAATAAATGTGGTGATTTTCCTCTCTTCAGCTGGATGTCTCTCGAGCTTGACTTGCAGAATCCTCTGGGGTATGTTTAGGTTCCAGGCACAGGTCTGGGGCTTTTATGTGATGACTTTTCAAGGCTACATCATCTGTAGTTCAATGAGCCTGAAAGGGAAGGGGGAGGCTTCCTAAGTTTAGATTTTGGGAAGCTCTGTAATCCTTTGACTTTGAACTGGATCTTCCTCCCTTGAAGAACTGGGAAGAAGTCAGGGTCATGTAAGCAGACACTATATCAACAGGGTGGAATGTGTTTTAAATCATTAGTTCTTTGACCTTTGA